CTTTTCAGACGGTTCTTTTCTGTTCTCACTGAAACGTATCCACATCGGGCGTCGTCAGTGTGCCTCTCTCTCGGAGGGCCTCATCGGCGCACAGAGGAGGGACGAGGGTGACGCGGTGTCACCACGAGGTCGAGTCCGGTGAACTCTCCCTGGGGTCCGTGGTTCGTACCATGAAAACGTGCGGCACGTCTACGCGGCGGGCGGTGGCAGCCCTCCAGGGACACTTCTGGAAGGAAGGGCGTGTAGCTCCCAGACGTAGGAAAGGTTGCCGTATCTCACGCACAACAAGAGAAGTGGAAATTAAAGCCGCTTTTGAGCAGCCTTCCCATGCAGCGGTGGGAAAGATGAAGGCTGGCCAGCGCCCAAGGCCGGGGGCGTCCGGGGACACAGGCACCGTGTGCGCCATGGTTGGTGGGACGGCCCATCGGTCAGACGTTTTGGCGGGAAGTCTGCCAACATCTCTCGAGATAAGCGGGAGGCATCCTGGGTGACCCAGGGTCTTGCGGAAATTGAGCCCACGATTCCTTTCACGCGGGCTGTGTGCTTGGAACGTTCGCGTGCGAAAGCTGCCCGCTACCCTCAGCAGGATAAAACAGAGAAACTGCTGGACGTCGAGTCACGGAAAACTACGGGACTGTACGGGTGGTGGCTCCGGGGGAGGGGCCGGCCACCGTCACCGTGAGGACAGTGGCCACCGAGCCGCAGGTGCTGGCCCGGGGCTCCAAGGGCAGGGCCACGGGAGGAGGAACGCCAGGAGCCACAGAACCAGGTCCTTTTAGGAAGACCGGCGGGTGCCGGTTCTCCAGATGAAGGTGCCCGAGGCCCTGCTCCATCCCGCCGGCTCCCCATGCGCGCGTCCCGAGTAGGCAGGGGACTCAGGACACCCTTGGCTGGTGGGAGGCAGCGGGTCAGAGGGGAGTCCGGAGTGGATGCGGGCATACAGGGGGTGGTGCAGGTGGAGTGCTGGGTGCGGCGGGAGATGCGGGGGGCACTCACCTCCCGCCTCTCCCCTGCGCACGTGTCCCTTCTCCCCTGCGCACATCTCCCCTCTCCCCTGCGCACACATCTCCCCTCTCCCCTGCACACATCTCCCCTCTCCCCTGCGCACACATCTCCCCTCTCCCCTGTGCACACATCTCCCCTCTCCCCTGCGCACACGTGTCCCCTCTCCCCTGTGCACACGTGTCCCTTCTCCCCTGCACACACATCTCCCTTCTCTCCTGTGCACACGTGTCCCTTCTCCCCTGTGCACACATCTCCCCTCTCCCCTGCCCACCTTCCCCTCCCCCGTGCACACATCTCCCCTCTCCCCTGCGTACACATCACCCCTCTCCTCTGCTCACACATCACCCCTCTCCCCTGCGCACACATCTCCCCTCTCCCCTGTGCACACATCTCTCCTCTCCCCTGCGCACACGTGTCCCCTCTCCCCTGTGCACACGTGTCCCTTCTCCCCTGCACACACATCTCCCTTCTCTCCTGTGCACACGTGTCCCTTCTCCCCTGTGCACACATCTCCCCTCTCCCCTACGCACACGTGTCCCCTCTCCCCTGCGCACCTCCCCCCTCTCCCCTGTGCACACGCCCTTCTGCAGCCACCAAACCTACAGCAGGTTGCTCCTCCCTTCTCCCTGGCGGAAAGCCTGCAGTCCCAGTGCATTTTTGTGCACTCATCCCAGCACTTGGTCTCGTCGCCCTCACCTGGGAAACGGGGCTGATGTCGGCTCCCCCCTCACGGGGTCTGAGCAGCGGCTGCTGTGTGAATGTTCAGTGATGCCCATTCCTGCCTCGTACTCCGAGGGCGAAGGAAATCACACTGCAGATTCACCTTCAACGTGGGCGGAGATGTATTTTTAAGAGACCATCCAGCACCGTTTTCCTGAATTCGGTTTTCTATTCCTTCGGTCGTAATGGGGACAGCACCAAGCCAACTTTCCCTCCGTGTCCCCGCTCCCTGTGTACCAGTCCCCAGCTTTCCAGCCTGTACAAAAGGGCACTGAGGCTGGGGTAGACGCGTCCTGGCCGCTCCTTGCACACTCTCGCGTGTGTGCGTCCTCTGTTACGCCTGCTTCACGGAGGCACCTGTGTCCTGGGGACTCTGGGGACAGTGACCTGTTCTTGGCACCTACTGCGCAGCCATGCTCCAGCTTCCGAGAGCAAATGTGATATGGAAAGGGTCCTTTTTAACAGCTAAGTTCAAAGGCAATGCCTTCCCTCACAGCGTCTCCCCTGTCTCTCCTCACACGTTCAAGACACAGTGAAGTTTACAGTAGTTCTCTGACTTCCCAGGTCACTTGTTTTTCAGAGCCCTGCAAGTAGCCCTGAGGGTACACCGCCCTGGTCCCCTGCAGACACTCAGAAGCCCGCCAGGCTCCTCCCTTCCTGTCTCCCTCCTCCCGGATGCCCCTTCCTTCTGCGAATATCACGAATATCACCGCGCCCTGACTGGCCACCCGGCCGGCCGGCCGTGGCTCAAGCTTGTGGGACCCAGACCCAGCACCACCTCCCTTGGCGTCACGAAGCCTGGGGTCCACAGACCGGCCTCCCAGGACCCCTTTCTTGAGCCGACCCTTCGGTGCCCCAGCAGGGCAGTTCTGATGCCCCTGGTCTGAGCAGGAAGACCAGCTCGTTGGGTGGAGTGTTTATTTCTAGAGTTCTCTTCCTATGGCTTCCAGGCAGGAGATCACAGCGCCTTGCACAGGCAGCCCTGGATGCTACAGCAGAAAGTGACCAGGAGACCAAGAGGGGACTCCTTCCCCAGCTGAGCCTGCGTCCCCCAGGCGAGCCTCACCCTAGGCCGACTTGCTTCCCAGGCGAGCCCCGCCCCCAGGTCCACTGCTCCTGAAGGTGCTCTGACGCGAGGATCGACATTTGGCTTAACTTCCCCGGCACTTATGCCTTCAAACGTGCGTCCCATCCTTGGCTGAAGAAAACGTTCCGATTTTGCACACTGGCCGCAGGTTGTAGTGACGAGTATGCTCTCCAGATAACCTGGCCCTTCTTACCTTGTGGGGTGCTCCTTGCTCCCACCTTGTGCAAACGTAAACAGCCCTGCTGTGGATTCCATTCTACCCATAAGGCAGAATGTCACAACTACCTGAGGTGCAGGGAGCGGCGGAATATCGGAACGGTTGGCGCCTGGGATTTGCCTGGACCCTGCATAATTTATCCGATGGTCTTTGAATCCTTCGCGTGTAGTTCAGGAAGATCATCGTGTAGCTGTCTGATAAACACTGAAGTTTCCTTACGGAGGGTCGAGTTGACTGATCACCGCAGAATTATCTTTCTTGTAGGCTTAATGAGTTAGAAGGTCAGGCGTTCCGGCGCCTTCCTGAGGTTCTGACACACGCAGGTTTCTACAGGTTGTGCTTGGGAGGGGGAGGGCCATTTGTGAACCAATAATGGAGCTCCAGTTACTGTTGGCCATGACTCTGGCCCAGCCAGAGTGTGCTCCATGGCCTTCCCCATTCCCTACGGGAACGGACTACGGTTTCAGCGCCTAAAAGAGGAATCATTTTACCTGCTTTTAGTGAGTGAGAAGTTTTGTAAAAATGCTAAGTGGTTCACTTATGCCAATGGCCCCAGGCCTCTGGGCTCTGCACAGGGGAAGTGCTTGGGATGAAGATAAGTGTGTGTGTGGGGGGGGGGGAGGAACGATGACACAGGGCCTGAACCCACGTGTCAAGCCGGGTCAAAGGACAGTGGGGACTCCTGCATGAGGCAGCAAGTGCTGAGAGCCCCATGCACGAGCAGGTGGACTGAGCACAGACCGTGTTTCCACCAAGGGTCAGGACGTGGGAGGAAAGGCGGGGCGGGAACCAGGAGCGGGGATGTGGGAGGGGCGGGCTGGCTACCGGAGCCCCTCCCAGGAGGCGGGTCGTGGTGGAAGAAGGTTCTGGTTAGGAAGGGGAAGGGACCGCCCCAGTTACCCAACTGCAGTTCCTTCATCTTGGACGTCCAACCCCCAGGATTCTGGGAGACACGTTTCTGTTGTTATGGCCCCCAGTTTGCGGTATTTTGTTGCAGCCGGAGTGGACCAAGCTGCCGGCTTCCTGGGGGGGTCTCACCAGCCTATATTGTCCATGAACAGACAAGGAAACTTTCCGCAAAATCAAGCGTTTAAAGACAGCCGACACAACTTTCGGGGCCCCTCCCACGCTGACACTGGGGACGTAGGCCAGACCATGAAAACCACTGCCCTGATCTGGGGGTGTGTCGGCCGCCGCACAGGGCTCTGCTGCTCATTGCCCGAATCCGAATCCGGGAGGAGACCGATGGCTAGCGGCTTAGCGCGTCAGCTCTACAAGCGGGAAACGGGAGGTGGTGGCCCACCTTCAGAAGAAAGCCATTACGTAAGAGGGGCTGAATCAGGAACAGTTCTCTTAGACTCAGACACAGCCTCTCCACGCACGGGCCTCGAGGACGACACTTGGTTTGGGAAGAGACAGGACAGGGACAGATTCGTCCCCCGACACACAGGAGGGAGGGTCCCAAGGTGGGGGCTTCCGCTCCAGGGTCTCCAGGGTCTCTTCTTACGAAAGAGCTGCGCTCTGAGCCCCCGCCCCTGCCCCCAGGCACTTTTAATCAGAAGCAGGAGGGGAGGGACATTTGTCTACCCAAGCCAGACGCTGGTCTGGACGACAGCAGTGCACACAGTAGGCACCCACTGAAAGCAAGACAACCAGGATGGAATCCCGACGAGGTGTGTGGGGGGCACGCGGTCTAGGCAGAAGACTGGGAAGACCCCGGCATCCGCACATCCTCATCCTGCCTTAAACGAGGAGGACTGGGTCAGCGGAGCCCGGACATCCTGGGTCTTCGTCTCCGGCTGGCCAGCTGCCCGACACGGTCAGGTTTGTTGCTGACGGTTCTGAAGCGGCCGGGTGTGTGACGGATGGGACGCAGGGGCGTCGTAAGCCCCGCCCTCCCCGCCCCCACTCGCTCCCCTCCTGGCGGACGTGGGCACGGCCCTTCCCGACAGCACGGACGGCGGGCCTTACCAGGACCATGTGGCCGGTGGAGATGTCCATGTGGGGCTGCACCGGCTCCTCCGACCAGGATGACGTGCTGCTCCGGGCGGAAGGGCTGGGCATCGGCCCGTCGCTGAACTGGGACGAGACGCTGTTGATGCGGGTCGTGTGCGGGCCCTCCGGGCGCTCCGACGTGCGCGTGGCCATGCGCTGCCGGCACAGCTCCTGGGGGACGGTGAGGGCAGGTTAGTGTGGCCTCCCCCCGAGCCCTGCCCGGCCCGAGAGCCGAGGGGCACGTGGGGCTCTCCCCTGCAGCCATGCACACGCGCACACAGATCACACACACGGATGCGCACACCCGGCCACACACGCACAGACACATAAATACTCAATACGCGGACATGTACACAGACAGATACACACATATAGGTGGGTACGCATGCCCCCAAGACAGATACACAGATTCAGGCAAAAGGGCCACTGGACCGAGCCCGCGGCGACACTGGACCACGCGCAGAACCATGCCACGTGCAGGCTGAGCCAGGCATCTTCCTCTCCTCTTCAGAAGATGGGTCACAGAGGCAGAGAAGGGTGTGCGCTGTGCTCTCAGCTTGGTGCCACGGTCAGGCGCTGGGGGGAACCGCCTCTGTGTGGTTCTTCCGTTTTTCCCCAAACGATGCCCAAACGGATAAGAGCCCCCACAGAAGATAATAAACGAAATCACATACGAAAAGGGAAGTACGCGGTTCATGGAAAAGGGTTTGCTTCCTTGACCAGACCCCCAAAGACAGAGTTTCCAGATCTAAAGGAAAATCTCGGCACAACGGCCAAACGGAGCTTCTGTCTGGCCACCGCAGGGTCCCCGCCATCGCCACGCAAGGCGGACACGGCGCTCAGAGACGGGGGCGCCTGGTGGAGTCGCTCGCTAGCTGCTGGCTGTCATCGGACAGTCGGCCGGGACGCCCCCCACTTCTCACTAGCACAATAACCGTGCAAGGGCTCTGGTGTCATGATCTCACGAATTCCATCCTTTGCTCCCTGAAAATATCACTGTCACTTGAGCCATCAAAATAAAATGATATCGAGAGAAAGTCTGTAAGGGAATCTGAGCCCAGGAGGGGAATTAAACACGCATTCACGGGACAAGATGCCGGGGAGCGGCAGGGCTCCCGCGTGCTCCTCCCTTCCCGGTGCTGGTGCCCAGCCGTCCCTACCAGCCCCACGCACCAGGGCAGTGGCTGATGCCCACAGAACGCTCACACGTTTTCCTGAACCTTCCACGTGGCTGCCATCTTCCTCAGTGTTAGAGAGCTTCAGAAGGCCGCCGCCACCGTAGAGAAGAGACCTCTCTGGGCGCAGCTCCCAGGGGAGGCACGGCACATGGGCCTGGAGCTGGGTGGCCGCGCCGCTGGGACAGGTGCGCTGAGGGGAGCCCCACGGGCCCCACCGCACGAGCCCTCTGCCCGCCAGAGCCGTGGGTCTTGGGAGCAGGGCTGTGGGGGTCCCGAGGAGCGGGGGTAACGTCAGGCACGAGGCCACCGCGAGGACGGCAGAAGGATGGCAGGGGAGCCACTGTGCGTCCCCTGCGTCTGCCCACACATGGTTTTCACACGATGAGTCTGTTTAAAAACCCAGCCAGATTTTCTCACAATCTTGAAAACAAACAAACAAGCCCCAGACACAACGGGTTATTTTAATAAGGTAGATGGTGTCAGTTAACCCTTCTTTCCCGTGGGTGAAGTTCACCTGCAAGAATAAGCAGTACGTCCGACCGAACCTCAAGGCCACGCCACCGAAGGCCAGGAGGGCGCCAAACATTCCTCCAGGAAGGAGCGCCCCTGGGGAGGAAGGTTCGGGATGGCTGCGATTTGGTCACTAAGAGACAAACTAGGTCAGCTAGGTGACCCCCCAGGACTGTGCGGGGATCGGGGACGACCACTCTCTCTCTCTGCTCGAGGGAGACCGCGCAATCTCGGGCGGGCGGGCACATCACGCGAGGTCTCCGGCTCGAGTGTTTCCACTTTAAAAACGGAAGTACTCATCTTGTTACCGTGAGAGGCCCGTGCGGTGGCCGCCGGAGAAAGTCTTTGGTCATTCCTCAGCAGGTGGTGCAGATGTCAGTGCCACAGAAATGAACAGTCCCAAGGGCCCAGCGAGTTCAAAGATATTTCTAAAGAAACCGCAGAATTTTGGAGTCGGAAGAGGCAGCAGATCGCCGGTGAGACCTCTCTTGGCAGGCGACTCAGCGGCTGGCTGGAGGCTCCGGGGGGCCGCTGGGGGCTGCGACCTGGGCCCAGCTCGCTGCAGCGCCACTCAGTGCTGGTGCTCCTTGTAGGTCTTTCTTGAAAACAACGCAATTCTCACAGGCAGAGGGAAGGCTCCAAGAAGAGGTGGTCCCAGCCTGCGTCCCAGGGCAGTCAGTGCACATCTGCCCTCCGGGCACCTTGGTTGGACAGTGGTCACCCCAAGAGCGAGGGAGCGGCTCTGGCTGGACCTGGGGGGGCACCACCTGGGGGGCCCACTGCCGTGTTGGCGGGGGAGTGCCGGGGGCCCAGGCTGCTCCCATCACATTCTGTAGATACAGGTAAAGACACAGGCCACCTGCTCGGATGGGACTTTGATTTTGAACTGACCGCTGTCCAGTTTCTGTATGATGAACCGAGCCAGCCGCTAAGACCATGCGCCTCTGGTGGGAGGGGAGGGGAAGGGAGGGGAGAGGTGAGGAGGGGAGGGGAGGGTCACGTCGGAAGTGGGTTCTTGGGTTTGAAGCCACCGCACACCCGAGGGCCTTGAGGCCTCCACTCCGTGGGGGCCCGTCTGACCTTGACCTGGGATGACGGGCGGTCGCAGGCAGCTGTGCTCCCCTTGCGCCCCCAGCCAGGGTGGGACAGGCACCGGGAGAGTTCGCCCTTGGGACGCAAACAGCCGGGTGTTCGGCGCTGTCTCGGGAGGGATTCCACCTGGAATCCAGGGCCCAGGAAACGGCTTCGCCAGAGGAATGGAGACCCGGGCCGTAACGTGTGTTGACCCGCAATTCTTCTCCTCGGGCTCCAAGAAATGGCTCCCCCGTTCACAGCACCTGAGCGACAATGCCTGCTTCCCGTCCTCGCCTCAGCACTCACTGGCTGTGTGACCTCAGGCAAACCGCCTAGCCTCCCCGTGTCCCAGCTTCCTCACCTGCGAAACCAACCTCATGGTTCTTGTGGGGACTCAACAAGGTCTCATGCTCAGAACCAGCCTTCAGCACGGCCTGGCACATTATTAGCTATTGGTATTTATCCAGCATCTGGCGGTCCACACGTACCGTTCCTAGATGCCGGGAGTGACCGTTGAGTACGACCAGCCGGACCCTGACCTCCCCGTGCCCATGGTCCAGGCCAGAGCCGTTGGGTGTTTTGGGGGACGGGAGCCGCCGGGCAGGGGCCTCCCGGGTGAGATGCTCCAGATCTGAGGGCACCTTTCGCCGGGCCTTGTGAGGGAAAGCGCAGGCCCAGAGGGGCTAACGCTTCCAAGCGGACAGAGCCCCCGGCAGGACACAGGGGAAAAATCGGAAAGATGGCCCTGGCCCGAAGCTCTCCAGCGGCGTTCTACAGGTTCGCGCATCTCGAACCTTCGACGTGCCTGCCGCCACCGGCGTTCTGCCTCGGAAGCAAGCGGTGCAAGGCTGGGCGGTCTGTGCGGGCAGAAACGCCAGTCAGAGGCCGGGGCCCCGAGGGAAGCCGCCATTCACCTGCGGCCACCTTCACCTCTCCTTCACCTCTCGTCACACCGCCCCGCAAGCCCATCGTTGCTGAGACACGGGCGTCGTGACTGAGGTTCTCACGGGACCCACCCAGGGGCCGGCTGTTCCAGACGCATCCCCGGGGTTTGCGTGGTGGCTTCTGCCGGGCTGGGGTCCGAGCTCTGCCCTGGGAAGGAAGCAGCCGCCAGGGGTCGACGCTCCCTGTGCCACTCCTGTGACCTTGGCGAACCGCTAACCTTCTCCCGCCGCATCTTCCTACCGTGAGACCCGGGAAAGCACCGCATGCTGACCTGACCCCCCCTTCCCCCCCGTCACGGGGCTGCCGCGTGTGCGTCACGGTAACAGAGGGTGGGCACACACCCGGCGAGGGCCCTGGGACAGCGTGCCGCACGTGGTCCGTGGACTGCGAGGGGCGAGCCCCAGCCACTGGCGCCCCCCCCGCGGTGCCCGTCCGTTTGAACCGTTGGGTCGGATGGACACGCCCACCAGGAGGGGACACAGGCCAGGCTGTTCCGGAACCCCGACTGTGAGCCCCCACAGGTGCAAACCGTGTCCCCCTCTCCCCCTGCTGCCAGGTCAGCTCCATGCGGTCCCAGGAAGCTCCGGACGCCCCCAGGGAGGCTTCTCTGCCCACGGGAGAACTCTCTGGGGGACTCACCGTGTGCCCTTCTAATTAGTGCTTTAGGTTGATTATGGCTTGAAGATTAATAATAGAAATGCTGTGTTCTGACCAGACTCTACTCTTACCTTATTTTATAATATTTTTATTTTTTCAAGTTTTGCTTTTGAGAGAGAGAAAGACAGAGAGAAAGGGTGGAGGAGAGGCAGAGAGAGAGGGAGAGTGAGAATCCCAAGCAGGCTCTGCGCTGTCAGCACGGAGCCTGATGCGGGGCTCGATCCCATGAACCGGGAGATCGTGACCTGAGCCGAGATCGAGTTGGACGCTCAACTGACTAAGTCACCCAGGCGCCCCTCCTTACTGTTACTTTAAAACCAAAATTTCCTAAGGACAACTGAGCTTCTCTTTAAGAGACAAGATGCGGACTGTGACCTGACTCACATGATGTGGCCGGGGCCAGGCCCAGGACCCCACGCGGTGCACACAGCAAGCTCTCAGCACAGCTGTCTGGCCCCCACGCCCTCCCCAGACTGGCCTCTGGGGGACACTGTTCATCTGAAAGTCTCACCTACACCAAGAAGGGTGATCCAGGTGACACAGAGGCCCGTGGAGGCGTGAGCCCCCGACCCCTGAGGCAGCGGTCCAGCCGTGGGCACGAGGGGTGGGGGGGGGCTCAAGCCTTTACTTAAAATTTACCGTGAGGTTTACCGCACCAGTTTCCGCTACACGGAGCCGGGTCAGACCAGAGCACTTCCCGGCTGTTAGCGGCCTCCGTTTACTCTCAGACTCATGCGGGGCCCGCGTAGGACGAACAGACACTCAGACAAACACCAGTCCCAGGAACACTCCGTGAGTACCATTCTG